GGAGGTTTAAAAAAAGAAAAAAAAAAATGTTTTTAAAAAAAAAAAAAAAAAAAAGAGATTGTCCCGTCACCATCACTGCAGCCACAGCACGGTCCAGAGAAATAGGTGGCCAGGGTCTCTCCATGCATGTAGCGTCCATCATTCACAGACAGATCTGTTAAAAAAGTTACATACACCCCCCTCCCCACCCTGCAGAACAGGAGCTTCTCATTGATGGCTTAACTGGAAATTAGACATTATCAACATCCCTCCCCCAGCCTGCTTGCCCTCCTTAGAAATGTCTAGCCATGATCTTAGCAGAGAATAATCATCTTCTCATCAGCCCCAGTTATAGAAATAGATTTTCTGCCAAGCAGGCAAGTAATCCATCAGTGGCCCTGAAACAAGAGAACAGAGGGATCACGCACATAGAAAGGCAAGAATTTGAAGCTGTATGTATACAGGGTACATCCCCCCTTCTCATTATGATACCCAACAATCCCAAATCTCCAGTTACACCACTCCCTCAGAGCGGACACATCCAAGCTCCAGTGGGAAGGGGGTTTTACGATGTGCAAGGGGAAAACCTGCATGCAGCGAGTCAGGAGGACGCTGCTGCGGCACAGGAAAGAGGGAAGACAACTCAGTAGTAACGAGCAGGTACAGACACAGAAGCAACTGCTGTAGAATGAAAACGCTTATGTACCACATGGCTTAATGCAGGCTCCAACACCTCTCCGAAATCACTAACTGGAGGAAGCAGCTCCTGAGCTAGCCAGCTTTGTGAACTCCCCAAAGAAAGTACCATCCCACGATGCCAGGCTGATCTAATGCAACAACACTGCCATGAATCACTCCACAAAAGGCTTCACATCGGCAAGCAAGAGGGGGAGGTGGAATTTTGGCCCATAATAAAGGGATCCTCTGGTGAAGGACTAGGAGAAGACAGACTGGGTTCGGCCCTTTGATTTACAATTGGCTCCTGGCTGGGTCGATACCTCTAGGCACCTGTTTACCCCTCATGTCTACACTGCAGACTGGGGATCAAGGAAACAAGTTCAAAAACAGGGGCTGCAAAGCAGGTCTCTGGCGCACCAGCTGAGGTGCAGAAAGGGAGCCCAGGAGAACAAGCCGAGGTGGCAGAGACCGAGCTCTGCAGCCTGGGAGTGCACAGGGAGATTTATCACTGTGGTCGAGCACAGGTCCCTAATAGCCAGGAAGCAACGCATCCTTTCCTGTTCCAGTTTAACACAACACAAGCATCAATACAGGGTGCACTGGTGCTAACCCTTCTAGGGACTTCCCAATTCCTTCCTCAGGTTGGAAACCAATTGACAAATGTTCCGCCCAACTCCCCCGATTTTTCTCCACCCAACAGAAACAGGATATAGCAGCGGGGCCCACTTACGTGTGACAAAGCCAACTCCAGGCACATAATCAGCCAACAAGCGCAGAAGGAGGAGGATCCTGCCCCTAGGAAGGGAGAAAGTATAAACAAGTCCAGTGGGACACCTCCTGCCCCAGCTGTTGAATGCACGAACAGCAATGGCAGCTGTTACGCAAGGGCTCAGATTAACCTGGTCACAGGCACCCAGACCTCTTCAGATCTACTCACCCAGTCCCCTGACGCTATTTCTGTTAAAAGGGAAATTTTCAGCAAAAGCCCAGCAGGGGCCCCTTACTCTGAGTATCGGTCATAGAAAGGAGATCTCAGCAGGTAGTACAGCAGTAGGATGGTTCGTCGCCTCAGCTCTGCTCGCTCTCGCCTGTTCAGGTCTTTCAGATCACTCAGCAAGCTCAGACTGGAAGGAGAAGAGCAGAGAGCTAACTCACGGCAACGACAGCCAGCAGGGAAAAGAAAGTGGGTTTCTAAATGCCCTCCGTTCTCAGCTCCATGCAGAGCAGGCTGCACCAGCTCAGAACAGAGAGCACCATAAGTGCTGCAGAAGGTAACTACATGTGTCAATCTCCCAGCTAAAGACCAGGCCCAGCCCCCGTGCGTATTTCTCTCAGTAGGGCCTGCCCTGGATTGGGGAGCAGGGGGAAATGTGATGCTCAGCCACCACCAACCTCAAGCACCTGCAAAGACTCTTCGTCAGACTGACCTAGAGATGTCCAGGACTGCCGAGAGGAGCCAGGGTTTCCACGATCTCTGGCCCCACACTCCTAAACTCAATACTAGGAACACACAGTCAAGGAACAGAAAGAATCAGAGATGCCTAACAAGAGGCAGGCAGACAAGTGATGCCCTGGGTACCAGCAAAGTCTGCTGAGCCCAGGAGAACACACTGTAAGGCAGTGCTGGGGGGGCCCACACACTGTAAGGCAGTGCTGGGGGGGCCCAGGGAAGGGGCTGGAGGACTTGCGCCCACAACTCCAGCGGCTGAGGCTAGCCATCAAGGCGTAAGGGAGGAGAACCCAGGCCTCTGCCTAAGCTGCCTGGCGTGGCACTGCCCTGCGCCAGGGCCGCAGCACCCTCTGCCGGCACCCGGGGTATGGCGTGAGCCCGCACGCAGCCAGGGCAGGATACGGTGGAGCAGAGGGCGGGTAATGTAGATGGATTCTGCGATGGTTTCTTGGAGACCCAGAGGGGTGGGAGGCTGGTTCATCTCCTCGGCTCTTCGGCTCTGCGACTCCTCCCTCTGCTGGGGGGACCCCCAATGCCGGGACTGCAGGGATGGGGCTGAAACAAGCAGATCAGGACACTAACACAAGTAAAACCTTCCTCCTGCGCTTCCCCACACGACAACCCCACTGCTTTCTGCACCGTGAAGGCGTGAAACAGGAAAGCTTGAAGAGCTGCGCACACAGCAACGGCTGCGGCTGACCAGCACCCTCAGAGCTTGCCTCCAGAGGGGACAGAGCAGGGAGAGGTACTTGTAAGGTCCGTGGTCCTCAAAGCATAACCACGCTGAAGGGTTGTCTCCGTTGCACAGCCCACTTAGGAAAATACAATTTAAGCACGAGCCTTGCACCACGTGCCTGAATCCCCGTTGCTTTGATGTCCCCCCACCCACAGGGCCCAGTGACTGGCAGGATATGCCCCAATACAATGTTCTGCTCTTTACTGCCCACACCCAGGTCATACATGAAGGGCACAGAGCAGAAACAGCTCGGGCAAGGACAGAAAACGGGCTCAGCTACTTACTGCTCTGGAGAGAGCGCACAACACGGCTGGAACGCCTGCCAACATAGGTCTGATCCTTCCCTGAGGAGCTGTCCTCCACGTCTGCAAAAGAAAACAGCCACAGGGGTCAAGCTCCAAAGGAACATGCCTCACCCCAGAGCTGGCAGCACCCTTCCCTACATTGTCATCAAGAAGACCAGATCGAAAGTTTGATCTAGTGCAAAACAGACCATCCTGAAGGGGCTAACACTGCGCAGAGCTGTCAGAGGATGAAAAGGTAAATCTGCCTGACATTGCCCAGGCCTAGGATCTCTTTCCTCACTATCAGACCAGGGGGACACACAGCCTGACTCACAGTTCAGCCAGTGGTTCCAGGCTTGGACTCCTTCACCCCTTCCTTCCAGACTGTAGGACAACCCTGCCACTAAGCTAACTTGTGCTCTGCAGAGGGTGGAAAGTTCAACGTAGCTCAGCTTTGTGTACTGAAGCCTTACAACTGTGCCACTCAAGCCACTGCTCTGATGACTAATTCCTAGCAGGACAAGACGTGTGGCCCAGCGAGGCGCCAAGCCAGTGATGACAGCACTGTGGGCTCACCTTGGGGGTGGAGAGGCTGCTGCTGCTCCCTGTTCAGCGGCACGATGGGAGGAGACGTCTGGATGCCAGCTTTGTACCACAGCAGGAGCAGGAGACGAAGGATGGCTCTGTGAGAAGATGTATGGAAGCCTTCAATACCAGGCTATGGAGCTGGGCTCCTGTTGCACTGGAAAGGTGGCTTCCACAGAAGAGGGAAACACTCGGGTCTGCTCAGGGCAACTAGCAAGGCGAGAGGGGTAAGGGTCCCCTTCTGTGGCACAGTATCCAGCACGCCGTGGGGCTCCAAATTCCCCCAGCCTCAGGGACCCGCAGCTCAGTCCTGCTTGGGCTTTTTCCTGGGGTACTGCTGAGTCCCCTCCAGATCCCCTTTCCGAGCGCACGCTGCCCCTTCCCCTCCGCCCGCGGCACTTACTTAGCCAGCTGGATGAGGACAATGATGGTCCACCGGCCCATCTCCCCCCACACCCTGGCTGTCCCCATCTCTGCAAAGACCTCCACGCATTCTAGCACACTCAGCCAGGTCAGCAGCTTCTGCTGGGGCAGCGACTGCAAAACACAGAGGGGAGGAGGGGGACAGGATGCAGGGTCTGCTTGGGAGTTAAACAGGGCAGAAGCACAGCCCAATCTGGCAGGACTCTCAGAAATAAGCACCAGGTGGCCTTGGAAGTCACAGCCCCAGAAGCAGAGAGTGGCGCCTCCACCGTGGCCAGAGTCTACGCACAAGCCCACTTCTCTGCCTCCAAGGAGGGGCAGACCGAGACATCACAGTATCACACAGAGCTGCTACCCCAGAAACAGGGAGAACATCACCCCTGTATCTTGGATTGCCTTCTACCCCCGCTGACACAGCGCGATAGTCTCCTGGGTTGCGGCACTGTGCCTGAACTCCACAGCAAAACTCTCTCCTCCTCCTTGTCCCGGAGTTGTGATACAGGACAAACCTCCTCCCTGGTTAGAGCTGACAAGGGAGTACGCTTGGAGCAGAGGGAAGGGGACCCAGCGTCCACAGTCACGCCAGAGCGGATGCCTGCTGAATACAGCATCAGTCTAGGTCAGGAACCCCAAGACGGTGGGTGCTCTTCCAGCCTGGGTCCCTGCTCCCCACATGGGAACTTGCTGGTGCTGCCAACCACAGGATTTAACCCGTTGAAAAGCGTCAATAAAGACAATACAGCTGAAATTCACTTCAGCCTTTAACAACCAGGAAAGCAAATCATCTGCATTTCTGTTCGTTACACACCTGACGCTCCAGCCAGAGAGCTGCCTACACCCAAACCCACACAGCGGGCAGGCTTGCAACAGAAGAGGCCTGTCTGGAAAAAACCGCCCTCCTCTGCATTCCCCAAAGGGTCTAACAAGTGCTGGGAGCCAGCCTGGGGCTCTTGCAAGAGACACATAGAAGCAAGGTGCTTATACTTGTTTTGCTCAATAGCATATGCAAAGGAAGAGTCTGAGGGACATAGACTGAGGGACGACTGAGGGACATATCAGAGCTTCAGTACTCCAGAGCCACTGCTCTGGAAATAGCGATAGTTATTCAGCAACACCTTTGCCTAACTCAAGTTCTGAGCTTCTCAAAAGCCAGTGGAGCTCCTGGTGCAAGCCAGGGCCTGATTTCTGTGGTCCAGGGAGTGCTCCGGTCACTCCTCCAAGCCAGGAGCTGGAGTTTACCTGCGTTCAGAGGTTGCCTCTGGCCTCTACATACCTCACAGCAAAGAGAGGCCACAGCAAAGAGCTGTTTATTTCTACAGACACTCCCTGATAGCTTCTGCAAGGAAGAAAGCATGTGTCCCAAATCTTCCTCCCACACACACCAGCCTTACCACGGGCAGGCTCCGCTGCAGCTCCTTTCGGAGAATCCAATCATTTAATAGCACTAGGAGGTTGGAGGCAGAGTAGACTAGAAAAGGAAGAGAACACCGCAGTTACGGGATGCACACGAAGCAAACCGAAGCGGGACTGCTGCCTGTTTCCCCGGCAGGGGATGAGGGAAGAAGGGCAGCAAGAGGTGCAGATTCCTCCCACAGGCTGCCGGAGGATGCAGCCAGGCGTGAAGAAAACAGGGAGTCCGGGGAACGGCCCCGCATGCCCCCGCGCAAAGACACACCGCCAGCCCCCCGCTGCCCACCTACCCAGCTCCGACAGGGCGTGCGAGTCCGAGAAGCGACCTGCGAAGGGAGGAGAGCGGCTACCAGCCAGCGCCCAGCGCGGGAGGAGGC